CTCGCACTCGGTTTTTTTTTTTTTCCAAAGTAATTTAATTTTTCCTCTTTACAACAATTTTGTCATTGTTGGGTATTCATTTCAGTTAATTGACTTCCAGTTTGATTCGTAGAAACAGTCGTGTACACACCAATAATTATGTAATTAAAGTATGTTTGTCCATTCAATTTTTTGTTTAAAATAAATTACTCTCACATTTTTAATTTTTCATGGGGGGTTTAAGAGTAGGGCTGTAAACGAATTGAGCCGACCTCGAGCTCGAGCTCATACTATCGGCTCGGCTCGTTAAATAAACAAACCTAAAATCGAGCTCGAGCTTTAACGAGCCGATCTCGAGTTTTAGCTAGCCGAACTATAAAAAATTATATAAAAATTATCTTTTCGAGTCTTATCGAGTCGAGCGTTAACAAAACGAGCTTGAAATGAGCTCGAGCTCAACTTGTTAAAGTCTCGAACTCGAGCCGAGCCAAACCAGACTCGTTTAATTTACTAGCACTAGTTAGGATACCCCCTTGGCCCCGGGAATTTATTTTCATATATTTTACTCCTTTGGTAATAAAATTCTGGATCAAGAATGAGAATAGGATTCGGATATCTTTTTAACTTTTTTCTTTTTAAAAAAATATATGCATTGAACCGACTAACAAACAAACTTGATTGTTACACCAATATTCAATGATATGATCACATGGATGTATGGTTTATCAACCTTTAATCAGTTTGATTATAATTTTACTATTTTAGTCCAAAATGCTAATCATGAAAAAAGTTTAATATATAAGCATTTGAGAAGCAATGATTAGTAAAATAACACATCAATATTATAAAACTTTTCATGATAGCTATATAATCTGCTATTTATCAAAAGGTTATATATTTACAAACGACTAATATAATTACTAATCAAATCAACTATTACAATCCGCTAATATATTGTTTACTATCAGCTAATAGCCAAATACGGATATTCATTGACTCAGAATTAATTTGATAATCACTTTGACCTCCACAAGTAGACTATAAGCAGGCTCGCCTTAAGGGGGTGGCAGCTGGTGCGATGCC